TAGACATTTGTGACAGAAAAATGCATTAAAAAAAATCAATGGAGTTTGGATGGCACCCAGTCGCTGTTTGTGATATAACGCCCTAAATAAACTTTCACAGGAACCTCTATTTTGTTCATATCAACTTCAAATTTGGAACATAATTTAGACAGAAGGCTTCCGTTTTATAGCAAATTTAGAGTAAAACCTGTTATGTAAAATATTAATTTGATATAAAGTAAAATATAATAATATATTATAATATAATATATATAATAAATCTGATTATATTACCTAAAATGTATAATGTAATGGATTACGTTACTAACTACAATTTTTGTCATGTAACTGGGAATCAGTAACAGATTACAGTTTGTAAGTAATCTACCCAGCTCTGATGATTTTATGAACTGATTCACTGAACTGATTCATCATCCAAATAAACTGAATCATTAAATGGGATTTGACTTCACAGCACTATTTTAGAGTACATTTACTCTCTATTCAAATATCTCTAAAAGGGAAACAAAAGACAAACAAGACAAAAATACTGAGGAAAAAATAACAGAAATGTTGGTAGTGTTTTAGTTTCAGCGCTGGTCTACATAGTCTGTCATTTTTCCTTTAACCCAATACCAGAGAATGTGCTCTCCAGTTGATCTTGTGCTCAAATAGCAGTAACAGAGAGCTGTGTGTGTGTGTGTGTGTGTGTGTGTGTTCTGCTCTCATAATGAATGAGACACATCAGTGTCATCCGAACGCATTGCCAGAGGCCTGAAATCACATTCGCAGTATCTCCAGACGTTACTCCAACAATTATCACCCTCGTCACCAGATACCCGTCAGCTGCATCTCCTGCCAAAAAGCTGAAACCGAGAATTGTGGTTAAAAAGAAGACGAAAAGCGCCTGTATAATCCCACGCAAAACTCCCTTATACATCCTCTCCAACGAAACTCTATACCTGTACAGATTCAATCTTTCCTTTATTAAAAGAGTCATTTGACCATAAATAAACATTCTGTCATCATTTACTCACCCTCATGTTTTTCCAAACCTGTCTGACTTTTATTCTGTGCAAAAACAAATGATGAAGCTTCTGCTTGACATGCAGTACAGTGACGGGGGATGCTGGATCTGTTTCTGCTTCACTAAATACATAAGTAAATGAATGAATATGATGGTTTGGAATAATATATTTTTAGTTTAAGTTCTATTTATATATTTAAGAGTGTATTAATGTGTTTTAATTTTTAGGGTGTTTGTTGCAGTGTTGTTTTAGTATTATTTATATACTATTATAGTTTTTATTAATACTTTCAATTAGCTTTTCTTCTGTTTTCATTTTCATTTACTTAAATTTTTAGTAATCTTGTTTTGTGCTTTTTTCATTTTTATTCACTTTTTTTTATTACAATTTAGGTTTAATTTGAAAGAAAATATGGTTAGGAATTATGTTTTTTTTTATTTGTATTTTTGTTTTTAATATTGCCTTGCTGTGTTTTACATTTTAGATTGTTTGTGGGTTGCAGTGTTATTTTACGATTATTTTATACTATTATAATTTTTATTAATCTTTTGAATGAGCTTTTTGTTAAGTTTTCAGTTAAATTTTTTGTAATTTTATTGTGTGCTTTTGTAATTTTTATTCACCTTTTAAATATTACAGTTTAAGTTTAATTTGAAAGAAATTTTTGAAATAATAAATGTTTATTATTTTTTTTTATTTAAATTTTTTTTTATTACTGCGTTTTACTGTGGGTTACATTTTGTTTTATTTACAGTATATACTACTATCAATATTTTGAATTATCTTTTATTTTTTTCTTTTGTCATTTTTATTATTATTTTTTTAAATAGTTAAAAAAAATTGTTCTAAAAATTTTTTTGTTTGTTCAGGTTTTTTTTTTTCCAGTTTTTACAAAATTTAGTAACAAAATTAAACTTTATTCATTTAGTTGGCAAGGCAACATTTCTCATTTTCATTAATTTAATGTTCATATTTGCATTTTTTTTTTAAGTTTTAGTTTCAACCATAATAACCCTAGTTGGCAAAGAAAAGAAAAGAATAAAACAATAAATAAATAGATAAACAACATGAGTAAATGATGACTGTTGATTTATATGGCATTGGCAGTCATTGAGGTCCTCCTGCTGGTCAGGTTTGTAACTGCGCGTGTGTGTGTGTGTGTGTGTGTGTGTTTGATCTGTCAGGATCTGGAGTGTAACGTGTCTCTGGTTGATGACAACAGGCAGGAGTGGGTCTTCACGCTCTACGACTTCGACAACAGCGGAAGAGTCACAAAGGAGGTAAATACTGACATTTATTATACAGGCTTCATTCAGAGACAGACACCTGACATTCATTCCCTTCAGTGAAATGCATGAGAATGTGTTCATGTTGTGTGTGTGTGTGTGTGTGTGTTTTAGGACATGTCCAGTTTGATGCACACTGTCTATGACGTGGTGGACGCCTCTGTCAATCACTCGTGTAACGGCAAACGAAAGACCCTTCGAGTGAAGCTGACGGTCACTCCTGAACCCAGAGCTCGCAGGAGAGACACGACACACACCGGGAACGGTGCTCATCTCTCTATCAGACACACACACACATGCACGCACACACATAACACAGACACACACACACACACACACACACACACACGCATGCACACACACACACACACACACACACACACATAACACAGACACACACACACACACACACACCCACACACACGCACACACACACACACACACACACACACACACACGCATGCACACACACACACACACACACACACACACATAACACAGACACACACACACACACACACACACACCCACATGCACGCATGCACACACACACACACACACACACACACACATAACACAGACACACACACCAAAAAAACTCATTCTGAATGATTTATAAGCCTTTTAAATTACGGGGACACTCAAAATGTCCTCATAAATCACCATCTCGTTGTAATACCTATGTCATACCCATGTTATTATACAAATTTGTGTCCTCATAAACCACATAAACACGCACACACACACGCATCACATAACACACACACACCACACATAACACACAGACACACACATAACACACACACACACACATTATACACACATAAGACAGACACAGACCATACATACACACCATACATACACACATTATAAACACATAACACACACACACACATTATACACACATAACAGACACACACACACACACACACACACACACACACACAAGAACAGTGTTCACAAGCAATGATGGGTGACATGTCAAAATATTATATTCTGAGTACAAGTAACGGTATAGATCATGATATGTTATTTACGTCAGTGATTTCAGCTGGAAATATCATTTAAAAAGTTACTATTTTAAATAACCAAGCCATTATTAATTAAATACTTCACAAATTAAAGGTGATTCATCTGACTTGATTATTTTGCCTTTTAATTTGGACCTTGATGGACAAAAAATTATGAAGCACTAACAGTTAAAAGACCCAAAACAATCAAACTAATATTATAAAACAAGTGCACACTTTAATCAGTATCATTGATATATTATTGTAGTTTTTGTTAATATTTTGAATCAAATTTAAATTTTTTCTGTTTTCACTTTAATTTTATTTGAAGTTTTAGTACTTTTGTGTTTTTGTCATTTTTATTAGTTTTTTTTAAATATAGTCTAAAAAAGTGTTTTTGTTAATATTTTGAATCGATTTTTTTTCTGTTTTCACTTTAATTTTAGTTGAAGTTTTTTTGTTGTGTTTTTGTCCTTTTTTAAATATAGTCTAAAAAGTTTTTTTTTCAGTTAATGTTTATTTTAGTTGATTCTTTGTGTGGTTTTAGTTTTAGTTATAATTTATGGGTTTACACAAATAAATATATTTCTAATATATAAAACATTAAATAATATTTTTTTAAATATTGTATACTGTGTTTTGCATTTTAGATATTTTATGGTTGCTGTGTTATTTTAGTATTATTTTATACTATTATAGTTTTTATTAATATTTTTTATTAGCTTTTATTTTTTCAGTTTTCATTTCGATTTTAGTTTAACTTTTAGTGTTTTAGCATTTAAATTTTTTGATAAGTAATATGCATTGCTAAGAACTTCATTTGGACAACTTTAAAGATGATTTTCTCAATATTTAGGTTTTTTTGCTCTCTCAGATTCCAGATTTTCAAATAGTTGTATCAAATATTATCCTATCCTAACAAACCATACATCAATGAAAAGCTTATTTATTTAGCCTTCAGATGATGCATAAATCTCAATTTCTAAAAATGGACCTTTATGACTGGTTTTGTGCTCCAGAGTCACATTTCTGATTGAATAAGACACTGTTGTAAAAGCAGCCTTAAAAAACGGAACTCTACTTGGTTTTGTGCCTAATTTCTGAACTTTCTTCGCTCCTGCTTCAGACAATCGCTTGAGTCGCATCGAGTCGGTTCACGCAGAGGACACACACATCAGGTGAGCCGCTGGCGCTTGTGTGTCGTGTGAATCAGCGTTTGTGTGCCGTATGTCCACATGTGACATGATGTGTGTTTCTCACAGAGGTCAGAACCAGTACTGTGTGGACGAGAACACAGAGAGACGAAACCATTACCTGGATCTGGCGGGAATAGAGAACTACAGCTCCAGATTTGACAGTAAGACTCTGCTGAACGTGTGTAATATCACAGAAACACAGTCCTTAACACTGACGTTTCCAGTCATTACAGCAAACAATTGACAGAAACGTGTGCTGTTTGAATGATTCGAAATTAAAGGGAGAATCTCAGGGTCAGATTTCACACAAAAATACTTCACAAACACTGAAGGGTGATTCTCACAAAACCCATCAAGAAATGTCATATTTCACAGCACAAAATGAAAACAAATAAGAACTATTTTGCATGAAAATAAGCAATATTAGGACCTTAAGGCATTAATATCTTTTTTTTTACATTTTCATACATTAAGCTCACCCCCTCCAATTTCTCATAAAAATGTCATGATTGAGATGCAAAAGAAAAAATAAGACTATTTTAATTGTAAAGTTTTTACTCATCATGGTAGTACTTGTGCTGCTTTTAATTTATGCAGATTTTTAAAATTGTGTTTTATTAATTTTCCCGAAAACAGGATTTTCTTTATCCAAAGTATTATTTTTTTAAATTTTCTTTTATAAAATATAATTGCTTAATTTTTTGTTCATTTTTCTGATGTTTTTCTTAATTTTGATTGTTGTTCTGACCCTTTATAAAATATAGTTCCTTAATTTTTGTTCATTGTGCCGACCCTTTATAAAATATTATTCTGACCTTTTATAATATATAATTCCTTAACTTGTGTTCATTTTGCTAACCCTTTATAAATATATTTTCTTTAACTTTGGCCATTGTTCTGACCCTTTATAATATATAATCCCTTAATTTTTGGCCATTTTTCCTACCTTTTAAAAAATATTAATTGTTGTTCTGACCCTTTATAAAATATGATTGCTTAATTTTTGTTCATGTTGCCAGCCTTTTGTAAAATTTGATTACTGTGCTGACTGTTTATATTATAACTCCTTCATTTATTTTTTCATTTTGCCAGCCTATATTTAAAGTATATTTCCCTTAATTTTAATAATTGTGCTGACGCTTTATAAAATATATTTTCCGTAATTTTGATAATTATTCTGACCCTTTATAAAATATAATTCCTTGATTTTTGTAACCTTTTATAAAATATATAATATATTCTCTTTAATTTGCTCCTTCATCAAGATACCTCTCCTCCTGCGGCTCAGCAAGAGCAGCCGTCACGGTCTTCACACGATCAGAGCCGTTCTCGTTCCCACGAGCCCGAGACTCACGCCCATCAGCGGCGGTCTCAGGTCCTCTCTCACCCCTGCGCGGCCCCGGATCCCCGCGTGCGCGCCGGGCCCCAGTCCATCAGATCCCCCAGGAGCACCTCCAAAGGCGGCCAGTCTGCGGCCAAAACCAGCAAGTGCCACGGCTTCTATCCGGCGGATGTGTACCATCTCGCCCAGCAGAGCCAGCCTCAGCCCTCGACGGGTCTCCAGCACAGCCACAGCAAGAGATCGAGAGCCAGAGCCAGAGAACAGGCGCTGTCGCCCTCCAAACACACCCAACCACAGCAGCCCTCGCCCGTCAGCGAACTGCTGCCTGTGGTCCAGCGACACGAACACCATCATCATCACGAACACCATCATCATCACCACTACCACCAGACGTGATGGTACAGACGAACTCATAGAGCAGTGGATGTGAGCTCACTTCAGGCTGGACTGAGCCCGTCAGATAGAGCTGCACGATTAATAGGGCTGTGACGATAAATCGGTTGATGGATCGATTCCGAGGTTTTCCGAATGTATCGCGACTCTCTCTGGGAATCGATTCTGAGCTTAGTTCTTAACAGCAGATGGCGCTCTAGGCTAGTTTTTAACCACACAATCAAATGCTCACGAAGAAGAGCGTTCGTCAGGGCTGCGAGGATAAATTGATGCAGAATCGATTTGTGGATCGATTCTACGATTTTCCAAATGCATCGCGATTCTCTCTGGAATCAATTCTGAGCTTAGTTTTTAACAGCAGATGGCGCTCTACTCTAGTTTTTATCCACACACTCACGAAGAGCATTGAGTCATGTAACTTCACCTCGGCTCAGAATGCTTTTATGAAGCCAGATTAATGTAAACACAGCCCACTATGAACACCCGTGTAATGATTATTTTAGGTTCAAGTGTGTGTAAGGATTTGGAAGCAAGCAGAGTACGGCTGTTTCTAAAGCATGCAGCGCCATCTGCTGTTCAAAACTAAGCTCAGAATGGATTCGAGAGAGAATCGCGATGCATTCGGATAATCCCAGAATCGATACACGAATCGATTTATCGTCGCACTCCTAACGATTAATCGTTAAAAGATCGCGATCGTGATTCAAACACTCACGCAATCTCACTTCTAAATGACAACGATAAATCTTTGAAAACGTCATACCGGAACATTCAAATCTGCATTCGCACTGCTGCTGACACAGAGAGTATGCATGTCTTTTTAACCACAAATTATTATTTCTGTCTTGAAGTCACTCATATTATCACAGAAATACTGGGATGAAAGTTTATAGCTCGGATATAAACATTGATGTCTATGGTTGCGATCAAAATAGAGCAAATCAACTTTTGAAAGTAACTGGCGCTTTAAATAACATTTGTGTCAATTGCATTGTTTCTCCACTAGGTGGCAACAAGTGACTGTTAAAAAATGGATTTGTCATTGAATCATTCATTCAAGAGATTTGTTCAAAAACACTGATTCATCCAGTAATGAAACAAGTGAAGTATTTATGAGTGAGTCATTGAATCATTCATTCAAACCAATTTTGTGTTCCAATGAACATACCAAAGTGTTCATGAAATATAAATATATATATATATATATATATATATATATATATATATATATTTATTAATATTCATGCAAATTAATTAAACTCTTTTACTCTTTTAACATTTGTGTCAATTGCATTGTTTCTCCACTAGGTGGCAACAAGTGACTGTTAAAAAATGGATTTGTCATTGAATCATTCATTCAAGAGATTTGTTCAAAAACACTGATTCATCCAGTAATGAAACAAGTGAAGTATTTATGAGTGAGTCATTGAATCATTCATTCAAACCAATTTTGTGTTCCAATGAACATACCAAAGTGTTCATGAAATATAAATATATATATATATATATATATATATATATATACATTTTTAATAATTCATGCAAATTAATTAAACACTTTTAAATAGACTGCAGCCATTAATATTTTGTCACAGCCTCTAGTAAATTACACATTATTTTAAGTTCAGAATTGTGGGAGAATGGTGATCTGCATTTGAGACAAAAAAATAAAAAATAAAAAATCTAATAAAAAAAAAACAAGTTATTCTCAGTTTATCCAGAATCGTGCAGCTCTACCGTCAGCAGGTTTGTAATGGTCATTCCTGTTCTGCAGTATGAATGTTCAGCGAGTATTTCTATAAAAGCATACATCAGATCCTCAGAAATCTGCTCTGCTCAAACTCAGGCACTTATTAAGTTTATTAACTATATTGTGATCATTTACACAATGAACAGAATGAAAATAGAGCTAAAGTTAGTCATTGCTGACAGTTTACATGAAGACATCAACCCTAACCCTAACCCATCTTTTGAAATTTTGATTATGCTTATACAGATTTGTGCAATATACACAGACACACTCTCACACACACACACACTCTCTCACACACACACACACACACACACACACACACACACACACACACACACACACATGCAGTCAAAGGTTTGGAATAATTAAGATTTTTTTATGTTTTTGAAAGAAGTCTCTTCTCCTCACCAAGGCTGCATTTATTTGATCAAAAATACAGTAAAACCAGTAATATTGTGAAATATTATTAGCATTTAAAATAGCTATGTTCTATTGTGATATATTGTAAAATATAATTTATTTCTGTGTTCAAAGCTGAATTTTCAGCATCATTTCTCCAGTCTTCAGTGTCACACGATCCTTCAGAAAACATTCAAATCATAAGAGACTTTTTTTGAAAATATATATAAATGAATCTTTATTATACCAAACTTTTCCCTGGTAGTGTATATATACATATTTAATTTGAAACATTTAAATTAGAGACCCAGGGAAAATAAAAACAGCAATCAAACCAATTCACTTAATTGCAATAAAGGAAACTAATGTGATTTCCATCTTTAGGATTTTATCCAGTATATACAGACATGTATGAATGGGGTCATGAAATATACTGCATAGAAGGAATGACCCCATAATATTTAAAATGATCATATTGTGTAATTTAGCCGTGATGCTCTGCTCGGCTGCAGATTTCTCTCCGTCACTCAGATGGTTTTGTGTGACAGCATCTCTTCAAGTATTTTTTCTCAGGTGAACAGTGCTGCTCTGTAGCTTTTCTGGAAAAAAAGTCTATTTCTCCTTTGGGAGACCCTGCCATGGACTGAACGAGGAAATATCACCACTGCCAGTTTGAATGCTAAAATATCCTTTATGTTTAAAAATAAAAACTATATGAATATAAACATTTTACTGTATGATTATACTGCATATGCATATTTATCATGGTTTATACATATGCATTTGTTTTTTGAATTTTTTAAATAAAATACATCTAATGCATTTGACATCTGCCTTTCATTCTATCAGTCAGAGAAATGTATAAACTGACTTAACTCTGTTGTTCGGTCATTTTTGACCGAAGGTAAATTTTTACCTATTTTTTTTTTTTTTACTTAAGCACTTGCTATATGAACAAAAAAAACTATTCCGTAAATCTATTTTAGTATGATAAAAATCTGCTAAAAAATATTAAATAAAAAAACATTAACAAATTAAAATATAGTACATAATTAAAAAAAAAACAGTACATTTTTGACCACCACACTGGTAAAAATGAGGTAAAGTACTTTAGCCACACCCCTCTCTCTTTAACTCCGCCCTGCAATGAAACGTCAACCAACCAGTTCACGGTAAACTCGAACGTGCAAAATTATTGGCTAAAAAACTCGGGCCGCTCTCCTGACAGAATGTGATTTCTTCTCGCAATATTTATTTCAGAGTCCTGTCAGGTAACGTAATTATGGAAGCCCGTTTCCACCACTGAATAAAAAATAAAAAAAAGGTAATTGCGACTTTTTATCTCACAATTCGGACTTTTTTTCACAGAATTGTGAGATATAAAATCAGAATCGCGAGATATAAACTTACAATTGCAAGATAAAAACTCGCAATTCTGACTTTTTTCTCTCGCAATTGTGAGTTTATATCTCGCAATTCTGACTTTTTTCCTCGCAGAATTGCGTGATATAAACTCGCAATTGCGAGTTAAAGTCCAATTTTGAGGGGGTAAAAAAGACTGATATGTTCTCAGAATTGCGAGTTTATATCTCACAATTCTGTGAAAAAAAGTCAGAATTGCGAGATATAAACTCACAATTGCGAGAAAAAATTGTCAGAATTGTGAGTTTATATCTCGCAGTTCTGACTTTTTATATCACGCAATTATGACTTTTTAACTCGCAATTATGACTTTTTTTTCACAGAATTGAAAAAAAAATCAATTGAATAAAGAATTGAGAATTGAATTACACAGAATTGAATAAAAAGTCGCAATTACCTCTTTTATTTTTTATTCAGGAAACGGGCTTCCATACGTAACGTTAGTGTTTAGATTTCGCTAAGAGGGTAAAACAAAAAGTAGTAAGTGGTTACTGATCGTACGAAACTCGTTGGTAATATAAAGTTTCCACTGGTTTCCAGGACGTTGCTATGTTGCTGCTAAGTCAAATGAGTCCATCATCAAGTCTATGATATTTTGATCTCAAAATATGCCTCGAGTCCATCATTCAGTGTAGGTTTCTGTTTTTTTTCATTAGCATCAGTTCAAAATAAATAAATAAAATAAGCATGATTTGAGGAATCACTCGTTCTGCTGGAATCAAACGGTGCGGAGCGTTTATGGACGTTTATACTTGTGGTTAGGAGATTGTTTAAGTTAGATGCATGTTTCAGGAAAAAATTAACAATGTATAAATAACGTTTTTATGCTTTTATCATTAAAATGTTTTTTTTTTATATTTTCAGAAAATTCTTAAAAAGCAGATAAATTTAACGAATGTTCTATTAGTAACGTTCAATAAACATTAGACAATTGTTTCAGGAAAAAAATCTTCCGTGATCAGTTTATAA